TTTTTTGGTATATGCTGGATATGGGTGCTGAAATTCAGGTTGTTGTCAAGGTAAACCTAGAATTTGTCCCATTATTTGGAATTAGAGTGTTGTAAATCTTAATGTTAATTTGTGCACTCCTGCTCTGCTACCAAACAATATAGTAGGGTTGTCAGTGTTACGCGTAAGTTAGGCTGCCACCCATCGATATTTTAATCAGCTCCTCATTCACATGGTGTGAGGTGGCAAGATTAGGGTGAAGAGATACAATGTTTCAGCAAGAAAGGGGTTTCAGGTGTTGGGATACGTTTGTGAAGTCATTGATGTAAATCAGGGAAAGCAGGCTTAAACTCCCTGCGAACTCCAGTATCTCAGTGGCCTGAAAATGTTGTATGATTTGCTTTAATGGTGACAAGTTTTGTTATTCCTATAGATTTATTCAAATGTATAAATAGATAATAAATGAACAATCGCATGGCTCCTGTCCTGTCAGTGATCCAAAGTTCCTCAAGGCAATCCGAGATTGATTCTCGGCGATCAGGGTGAATCGAGTGTCTTCACGATGCATTCAATATGAGTTGAAATGGGTCACCTGGCGTTGTATAGTGCTGGTATAGGGTCCATACGGTAGTTAGACGTTGACCTGAAGAGGTCGGGGGTCAGCCCTGCCCCGGTTGTGCAGGCTGCCTGTGATAGCGTCTGATCAACCACGTTAATGTGTCACCTGCAACCCTGGCAAGCGGCTGTATCAGGATACTCTAGTGTTGTCCAGCCAGCTGAAGCACTGCTAGGGGACTGCTGGAATCCCCACTTATGCTACAGTACCAGCTCGGGCCCCGATCACTTTGCTAGACTCTACGTGTAGTGACACTCCTGCTCATTCTTGGGGATGCGTGACATCGATTGCAATGTTTGAGCATTCGTAGTGATATTTTCGTGTCAAGTTCGTATAGTCTCTACATTTTCAGTGTATATAATCATGTATCTCTCCCTCCACAGTCCAGAGGAAGCAGGTCAAACATGGAAAGGCTCCACTTATATTGCAGGGGTTTTATCTCCGTTATGCGCGCGATAAATTTCTTGTTACATTTTCATAGGTCGACAATTTCCTGCCTTGATGCTTTAGTAGTCAGCATTTATTCAGCCAATGAACAATTGACATAAGAGGTCATATAGGCTTAGATCCCAGTTTGAGGTCCATTACCTCCTGTCTTTTCTGCATGTGCAATACAAGCTCATGGCTTACAGGCGAGATCCTCGAATATACTCCCGGCTGAGGGTGTTCGACCTAATTTTCCAGATTGTGTTTCCTATGACACGATTTATCCATGTTCACCATCTGAGATTGAAACATGGGTACCTATTGTTTAGCTGCGACTGGTTTGGTTGTGTCCGATCCTGAGTGTCAAGGAACTGACCTGTCTGCGATATGGGATGTCCATTGAATAAAGACAGGGCTTTCGAATCCGTATAATACATATGTATATAGATATAACTAAGTGGACTGTACATAGCCTTGTAAAGAGCTTATCACCTAGTTGCCTCGGCTTTACATCCGGAGAACCTCTGTGTTATCTGCATTAAGGTAGGCATTAAGACCATTGACGACTTTTCACGATTATTCTAAGCAATGCATTTTGTGGTATTAGCCAATTCACATGTCGAAAGCTTAATTGCCATATAGTCGTCATAATTACATCTGAAAAATGCCTTTAATCTTGTCAATGTACCTTATACGGGTTTGATATAGTATAAAAAATAATTAATTAATAATAATAATATTTTTATATTGGACATGTTATACATAGCTATCGTAATATAGGAAATTATAATCATTGGGTGTGACATTCCAAACCCCTTTTAAGATTAACTAAGCAATGATATATTCAGTGGTAAACATTACAGGTAAATCGATTGCAAGTACAGTACGTCACTAATGTCAGCTAAGCCTTATCTTGTAATGACTTTACACATAAAGTATTATTACTTTTGTTGTTATGTATTATGTTATAAATGGAGCTATCGAAGCCGAGTGTATATAGCAGTATATGCATAAGATTATATTGTTACGTTCTCTCTGGTTTATTAGCACAAGAGAAAACTCTCTCTTACAGGGGTAACTATATAAGAACAATCCTATATCAAGACTCAAACTGCGCTATTTTCTAGCATTTTGTTTTTTCAATTAATCAGATTTGTGCGCGTTTCTTCGATCATCTTGGAAGTTATTGATCTACCTATTATCACAATAATATCAATAATGAAAGGATTTTCACAACAAGCATACGACAATGAATGTTTTACAAGCTGCTGACGAAATTTTCAAAATATCCCAATTTTTTTTATTTGCATGGGTTCTAAAGAGCAGATATTTTGCTAAATGTCAAAAACTTACCAACTGTATTTTTGGAGGATTAAGATAAGGTATAATACAGTAATTCTTATCAGTAAGTAAGGAGTGCCCAAAAAACTTTTGACAAGGCCAATAAGTACAGTCAGGTTGCCATATTTAATTTCCAATAAATAATTTTTTTTTTCATTTGTTGGCCGTAGCTCGATCGCTAGCTCACACACCGACGTACGGGGTTTGAATCTTTTCCGGTACGGCTGGAAAACATTAGGGACTTGTTTCCATAAGACAACTGCTGTCCACGTCCACCTAACAGTATAAAATGGGTACCTGGGTGTTAGTCAACTGGTGTGGGTCGTATCCTGGGACAAAACTGACCTAATTTGCCCGAAATGCTCAGCATAACAAGCGGCTTTCTATATACTAGTATGTTGTTGATGTCAGCTAGGCCTGCATACCATGTACTTGTAGTAAATATATTATGTTATTATTATACTAAGCTAGAGAAAAAATGAACTAAATCGGACGATAAAAAATTAGTAGCAAAATATTCCCTTAGAAAGTACAGCATATAGCACGAGAAGTGGCTTATATACTGTAGTCAGGTGAATGGAAGCATGAGGCAGGTGCCATGAGTACACTAAGAGACAACACAGTAAGTGCCAGGGGCCCCATGACTTTTCAACTGCCTCCCAGCATACATAAGGGAGATTACCAATAGACCTGTTGGACAGGCACCTAAAATCAGTACCTGACCAGCCGAGCTGTAGTTCATAACGTCGGGTTGCGTGCGCTTAACAGTAACAGCCTGTTTGATCAGGCCCTGGTCCACCATGAGGCCTGGTCACAGACCGGGCCGCGGGGGCGTTGAGTTATTATCACTATTTAAAAACCCCTTGTCATGCAGTAGACCCAAAATTTTCAAGCAATGTGGACTAAAATCGCTTATGGGGCTCTCCGGGATTAGGGGCCCTAAGCGGCTCCCTTCATCCATTCCTAGGACAACCTCTACCACGCCTTCCCTCCACAGATTTTTAAACCCTGCAGTTCATCTTATTTTGCTACATCCTTTCTAAATAACCATACCATCTCAACAACCTTTCTTCAGCCCTCTGGATAATGCTTTCAGTAGCTCTACACCTAATCTACAAACTGTGAATTTTCTGTATAATAATCATCCCTCATATTGCCTTCAAACAGATCTGCGCTGCCTCCAGCAACCTCCCCGCTGCAACATTCACAATCCATGATTCACAACCATACAAGAGTGTTAGTGCCACTATTCTTTCATACATTTCCCTTTTTTTTTCTCCATGGACAGCGCCATTTGTCTCCATGCACAAGTCACCTAATTTCCCCTCGTCAATTCTATGGTTCATCTCGTCTTTCTTAGACCGGTCTGGTAACAAATCTACTCACAAATATCTGAACACATTCACATCCTCCATACTCCCTCCTTCCAGTCTTATATCCATTGTTTCACAGCAAAATTTATTGCTATTTACATCACCTTGGTCTTTCCTATGTTCATTTTCAATTTCCTTCTTTTAAATTCCCTTCTCAATTCGTCCACAAACCTTTGCAAATTCTGTTATAAATCTCTCAATAGCACAGTGCCCTCTGCAAAAAGCAACTGTGAGAACTCCCACTTTGTATTAGCTTCTTCATTGCTTAATCCCATACCTCTCTACTTTTTCATTCCACCAATTGCTCCTCTTTCCTCCTACACCCACTTTTCTATATCCATAAACTTCTGCTGCGCACTGACACTGCATTCTTAAATCTACTCCATTCTTCATCAACCTTCTCATTACCTATACTATCACTATCCCTTCTGTCCCCATAAGTTCCTTATATCTTACGCTAGATTCCAGCTCTAAATTATAAACTTTCGCTTTTCTCTTATTCACAAATGCCACTCTCTTTTGTACCCCAACTCTTTACTCTCACTGTAGCTACAGCTAAATAATGATCTGAATTATTTGTTACACCTCTAAAAACTTGCACTTCTAGAAGTCTGCTCATTAACCTTTATCCGCTCTATATCTAGCGTTCTTTATTTATCTTCTTTTCTAAAATACGTATTACTTATTACCAAACCTCTTTCGATGCAAAGTTCAGAGGCCCCCATTATCATCCCAAACTTACTACGCCCTCTACAACAGTCTTTCCCACTTTATAATTTACGTCCCTACCACAATTGTCTCATTTCGTTCAAAACTCTCTAAGTACTCGCTTAACATCTCATAGTCTCTCTGTCCGTTCTACACTCCTGTCTTCTCCAGATGCATCAACAATTTAACTCACTTTACGCATCCGACTCTTATTTTAGCCCTCATAATCCCTGAATTTATATATTTCCTCTCTTCCTTCCACAACTGATCATTCAGTTTTACAGACATCCAGCATCTTTTCATTAACATTCACAATAATGTAGTGCACACTATATCCATGCACAAACATTCTAACTTATAAAGTTCTTATATTATACATTATATAATATTTACTGGAATTACTAAACCCGTCGAGGCCATACAGCACCTGAGGAATGGAAAGGAATCAGATTTGATTGTATGAAGGGTAGGATCAAATCTAATTACTTGGATCAGTGTCTCCCCCCTCACAAACCTGAAGTTACACAAAGATTAATTTACTGTAATTCAAGACTTACTGGAAGCAGGGCAGCAGACGACTTTGGCTTCGCCCGGAGACACACACACCAGAGGTCTGCTTTGGCGATAAGTCCTGAGAACTGTCGGGCACTGACGTACTTCCACGCACCTGCCCCGCACTCCAGTAGCCAGTGTGCAGCTACCTAACAGTGCAGTGAACAAGACTATGTTAGTTACAGGTTAAAAATTATTTCGCGTTCAGAAATGGATAATGAATCTATTGCCATTCCTTGCTTTGAATGACCCACTCGGGTTTACAGTACTTTCTCACAAACTGTTAAGTCAAAATAGAAGTTATGCATACATGTGGGAAGTTATTGTAATTATATTTAATGGATAGCAATATAACCGTGAGGATCATATAAAGCTTAAGTAATGGAAGAGGAAACCAATTCTCTTTTTTACTATCAGTTGATAGCACCTGTGTTATAGATCAAGATGCTATTGGAAGCATCAAGGCACCCACTTTGAAGGGTCAAATATCTACCGAGCCATCACCACCCAATGCAAGGATATGAACATTTTGTATTAGTAAATGGGAAAATTCAGTTTCTAATCTATGGACAGACGTTGCAACCCTCAATAGAGGTGCCACATTTGTCACATTTGTCCAATGTGGAAGTCATCTACAATCATCTACAATCAGTCATCTACAATCCTTGCCTAACCCTTGGGCACGACCTACTTCCACATTGGACAAATGTGACACCACCTATGACTGCTGCACCTCTCCTGCCATTCGGTTTATAGCTGCTTCTCCGCTCCTATGCCGTATTCTATTCAAGATTGATGGACTGACCACATCGACTCAAGGCTGAGGGACTGATTATCTCTTTCTCCTCCTGTTCTTCAAGTTTATCCTTTGTATGGACTGATGAAGCCACTGTGTGGAGAAACGTTTCCTCAATAAAGATACCCAAGAGTTGCACATGTGTCTAATTTAACAACTGTCTCCCTTGATGAGGCGGAACATGTGAGAAGTGAGATCCCTCTAGCAAGAGAGGCAGGTGACATGGAGGCCAATATTGTATCTACATCGAGTGACCTTTTAGCGTTGCATGAGTATGATTCTGTGCCTTGTGTGCCTTTGTTGAAGTGCTCAAGTGAGGAGAGAGTACGTTCAGATGATGCTGATCAGTTAGCTAACGTGCGAGATTTGGAGGGTCCGAGAGTTCATACTGTTGAGGTTGACATTCACAAGGAGAACACCCCTGGTACTGACATTCATTGGCCTCATCGCTCTCGGGCTGTGTGGACGTGCTGCGCAAAAGCTCCTGCTTTCTCTGTTGCGCAACTTCCTGTTTTCTACAAGATGGCTGCCAGTGGCCGCAGGAGGAGCAACAGTGTGTGTTGTCAAAGGGGCAATTTACCCTACAAATGCCTGTTTTGCTGCCGACGATCATCAGGGATACTTTCTGTATTGCCAACGATGAGTTATATGGGATTGCTCTGAATGGTTCTACAAGGATTTTCGTCAAGTTCTGCACAGTGGAAGCTTACGAAAGGACGGTAACTAACTACCAGGAGATATGTATCACCGTTTCATCTGGGCTGGAGGTACGCCTGCGGGATGCCTCCAAATACTCACCTGGGTGAGGATTCGGAATGTTCCTTTTGAAGCAGATGACGTGGATATTCGAGAGACTTTTCGAATTATTATTATAATCAAGGGGGAAGCGCTAAACCCGGAGGATTATACAGCGCCTGGGGGGGGATGTGGAAGGCATTCAGGCTTAATTCGGGGAACTGGAGCACAGATCCAATTCCCTAAATCAAGTGCCCCTCACCAACATCAAGGAACCTTCCTTGAGGGAAAGACTTTTCGAAGCTATGGTGAGATACATGCTGTGACTTTGGAGCAATGGACGGATGGAATCTATGTGGGGCTTCCTGCAGGAGCTTACAATATCAAGATGACTTTGAGAAGACCTATCCCCTCATATGTTGTCCTGGAGGATTTTAGGACACAGGTGTTTGTGACCTATGCAGGACAACGTAAAACGTGTCGACTGTGTGGTGCTTTTGATCACATGGCAGCCGGGTGTGGTAAGGCTGCAGCGCCACGGTCAAAGGAAATGCCAGTAGCCACAGAGTCGTTGGTGGCTCCTTCGTCTGCTGCGGTGGTTGCAGCAGGCAAAGGAAATTGGGCGGACGAAGTGGACGGTGTGGAAGAGCGTTGTGTGATGCTACCAGAAGCTTCAGGAAGAACCTGAAGTGGAGCAGCAGCCTGTGGGAGTGGGGGAGGCTGGTGACCTACAGGAATTATCTGAACCTCTTCAGATGATTAAGTCCTTTCTAGACGTGCCAGCAGAGGAGAACCCCGCTCTAGACGGGGGACTTCTGATGGTTGACGACTTGACTGGACAGGCCACGGGGTCGACGGGGTCAGGATCTGGCATGTTGCAGTTGTTGCAGGTGGACGCTGAGGTGCACAGGGAGAGTGGAAATAATGGCATGGAGATTGAGGGGGCTTCTAGGAAGAGAGCTGGAGACCTGTCGGATGACGAGGTCATTACTCCAGCTCAGCCACCTGGCAAGAAGTCGTGGGCGGGAGTAACTAAGAAAGAGCAGAGTAGTGAACAGGGAAGGGAGGGAATCAAGGAGGGCAAGAGTGTATGGGAGAAGTCAGGAGTAATAAAAAGCGTTATAGACAGGACACAGAGACATAGAGGAAAGCCACCTTTTTTGCATCTTTAAGTGTTTAACTATAAATGTGAATGGCCTAAGAGCTGAAGTTAAACGTGTATGGTTCGAGAATGTTTTGAGGCGTTTTGATGTTGACATGTGCTTTATACAGGAACACAATTTTAAGTGTGGCAGAGAGTTGAGGTTGAAAGGGTTTAGGATGTATGCTGGTAGTTCAGGGAAAGTAAAGGGTGAGGCGGCAGTGGCAGAGGGGGAGGGTGGTGAGGGTGGAGGGGCTCTGAGGGGAGATTAGTGTGTGTTTTCTGGGGATATATATGCCGGCTGATAGTAACAGACTGATAAAGGTGAATTTTATATGGGATGTTCTGCTTTTCCACTTGCGAGGTTTACCCATGGTTTCCATAGTAGGTGGGGACTGGAATTGTGTAATTAGAAATAAGGATGTGGAGCCGAGGGGTGCAGGGCGTGTGCTTGGGGTGCTGAGGGATTTGTTGAGGGATGCAGGGGTTAATGATGTAGTCAGGGGTGATGGGTGGAAAGTGGAGCACACGTTTATGCGGAGGGGTTATGCTGCCAGATTAGATTGCATATACATATCTCGTGAGATTACAGTAGAACGTGTGCTGATGGTTGACGTAGGTTTTTCGGACCATCGTGCCGTGTTGGCAAAGGTGGCATGGGATGGTATGGTTCGCCGGTATGCAGGTTACTGGAAAATGAATGTGAGGTTACTTCAAGGGGAGGGGGAGGGGTTTACATTCAGGGACTGGTGGAGACAATTCTGGGAGGCACGCAACATCGAAGAGGATGTTTTGGGATGGTGGGAGATGCAAGCTAAACAGCGGATTAAGGATTATTACCAGCAAAGAGGATGGGATGAGGCATAGTGGAGGTTTGGATTACAGAAATACATTGAGGGGCAGCTCAACGATTGCTATGAAGGGGGTGGGGGTGGTAGGCTTGAGGAAATTGAGGTTTTAAGGGGAAGATTGAAGGATATACAGAATTCTCGTTTTGATGCGATACTTGTGAGGGAAGGATTAGAAGAGGTACTATGGGGCAATAAACCGTCAGGATGTGTTTTGCAGAGGTTCAGGGAAAGACAGCAGATGACCACGATTATGGGATTAGAGGTGTGTAAAGGGGTGGGGGGCTATAGGGTGGGGCAGGTACTAAGAACCACTGATCAAATGAGTAACTATGCTGATCATTGGTTCAGGGAGAATTTTAAGCAGGGGGAGGGTGGAGGGAGGGAGGGAAAGATTATAGGGGAGGGAATTCGGGGAATTTTAGGGGAGGAAGAGAGGGCGGAGCTTGAGGGTAGGATCAGTGAGGAGGAGGTGGGGGGAGGCGGTAATGAGCTTGAGTAGGGGAAAAGCGCCAGGGATGGATGGGATTTCTAATGATTTCTATATTGCACACTGGGATTGTATGAAGGAATGTCTGGTCTCATTGCTTAACTGTGTGAAGGAAGGGGGTGTGTTGGGGGAAACGCAGGGCATGGGGGTAGTTGTTTTGGTTTATAAAGGAGGGGGGAGGACCCTGGGTGCCTATAGGGCGATATCCCTCATGTGCGCTGATTATAAGATATTTTCGAAGATTTTGGGCAATCGCATGAAGAATGTGATTGACCTTGTTCTACATAAAGGACAGTATGGGATTCCAGGTCGAAATATGCATGAGGAGCATGGAAGAATTAGGAATTTCGTGGAGGGCAGACAAGGGGGGGGGGATATTGGGGATCGATTGGAGGCATGCTTATGACTGTGTTGATAGACGTATGTTATGGGGATGAGATTGTGTAGTGGATGACTACTTTGTACACACCTGTGAGAGTCAGGGTACAAGTTAATGGGAAATTAGGGCTGCCGGTACAGATGGGGAAGGGTTTGAGACAGGGTTGTCCCTTGTCACAAGTCCTCTTTGCATACATGCAGGACCCATTTTATAGGCTTATAGAGAAAGGAGTGTGGGAAAGGGGAGGGAAGGGTCCTGGCAGATGTGGGATTGTGGGGTATGTGGATGACACCACAATTTTGGTGGGAGGGGAAATAGGATTGGGGAATGTGATATGTATAATAGAGATTTTTGGTGGGGCGACTGGGATGAGGGTTAATGAAGCAAAGTCTAAGTTAATGGAAGTAGGTACGTGGGTGGGGGGGGTGGGGTTTGGGGGAATTGTATGGGTGGAACGTTGTGGATGCGGGGTGGTGTACATGGCAGAGGCTGGGGAGGTGCAGAGGGTAAATTCAAGGGATGCGAGTAGAGCGATGGGTAGGATGCGAGGGTGGAGGGCTGGGGATGTATCGTTGCAGCAGAGGGTGATGGTGGTAAACACACTGGTGTATAGTAAAGTGTGGGGAGTGGCAGAAGTATATCCCCTGAGGGCGTGTGATATTCAGGAACTGGAGAGGGGGGTTTTGAGGTATGTGTGTGGTTATGGGAGGCCGTGGCTTCGGAAGGTGGTGGTTACGACGGACGTGCGGCTGGGTGGGCTGGGTCTCATACCTTTGGAAACACCTGTTAAGGCAGTATATGTGAAGCAGAGGTACTTACGGGCGGGAGGGGAGAGGGGTATAAGGGTGGGAGAGGCCATGGAGGATGTGAGGAAATGGTGGAAGGGGAAGGAGTTATTTATGTGTGAAGATATGATGCGTAATTTATTGACAATCCAGGATGCAAGGAAGGTAAAGGTTAGTAGGCTTGGGAGGACAGGTAGGCAGGGAGAGGTGATACAGGGACTAGATACATACCCGATGTATGATTGGAGGGGCATTTGGGAAGACTTTCGAAAGATTAGATTAAAGCCGAAGGTTCGTGAATTGGTATATAGGTTTTTTCTGGGAATTCTAGCTTCAAGGTCTGTGCTATATAGAATGGGTTATGTAGGTGCGGGGGAATTGTCAGCATTGTGGGGAGGAGGAGACGGTTTTTCATGCTGTATATTTTTGTGAAAACTTGGGGGTTGTAAGCACATGGT